TCCCTAGGTTTGTTTTGCATGACAAATCAATCTGGAACTCCAGGTACCCATGAGCCCACTAACCCAATTGTTGAATTGTCTCTTTCGTTTGAATCCATTTTCGAAGCTGGCTGTGAAGGCCACTGCTTGGCCCTGACTCCTTGTTTTGGACCTAACTCAGGCCTTTGATGAAGGTGGCCACTTTCCGTCCTGCGTGAGGCTAGTCTAGGAGGCCAATCTCTGGCTTTGATCCCATAACTCGAACCCCTTTCAGGTCTCCTTTCAGGATGACTGCCCTTCATTCTGTAATAGTTAGGTGGTCTAAATTCATGTAGAGGTCTTTTGCCTATGGAGTTTACTCTAGTGGCCGTTGAGTCAGCCATTGATGGTTGTTGCCTAATACCAGTTGGATATGCCCTTTTATTATAAGCACCGGTTGGTTTAGGACGCTTCTGCACATCTTTGTAATACTGTTTTCCATCAATTGGAAGCCCTTTCAGCCACTTATAGCTCAACCTGTATCTGGGACACATTCTTTGCATAACAGCTGCCTCTAAAGAATCATCATCCAGTGTTTCTTTATCAGAATCCTCCCTCTGGTTTGGAAAACCTTGTCCAATAACTGGTAGGCTTCTAGCATCTTTCTTGACAGTAGTTTGGCTGGCAACATGCATTTGCACATTGACCTTTTCCAATTCTTTCAGGACAAGTTCTGGAAGCTTGGCACAACAACATTGGCTGCCACTTCTCCAATTTCTGGGAATGGATTAGTGTCAATCTCCATGGCTTTTTCTGCTTTAGCTGAGAATTTCAAACTTCCCTTTCGAATTTGCTCCTGGATCCTGTCTCGAAAAACAATGCAGCTTTTAGTTGAGTGAGACCAATAATTATGTCATTTACAATAGACTTTTCCTTTAAGTTTTTCTGGAGATAAAATTTTAACTCCTTTTGGTAACTTCAAGAAGTTTGCAGCAAGCAAATGATCAAAAATGTCATATGCCTTTGTCAAATCAAAAGAATATTTCCTATGAAGGTCTTTCTTTTTAAACTGCTGGTCAATTGTTGTGTCTTTATGAATTAATGCCTCACAGATCACAGGTTCTTCCCCTACAATCTCTGCTACATCAATCTCATAATTAGGATCTCTATAATACTTGTACGATGCATTACTTCGATTTTGCTCTTCTTCTAGTAATGTTTCATACCTAGACACCTTGTAAGTTAGTTCCACTAGGTCTCTAAACTCAGTTGAGTCAAACTTTTTTCGAAACCTAAACTCTAGACCATTTTGGGCCAACCTCACAAATTCAGGCTCTGGTAAAATGATCCTATATTTATTTCATGGTCTTTTAAATCTGGCAATAAACTGAGTAGCCTTCTCATCAGGCCTTTGACTCAATCTTACCAAGTCTGCCGTGGAAACCTCTGGCTCTGTTTGGAAGAATTGGGCATGAAATGCCTCCTCCATTTGTTGCCAAGTTTGGATAGAGCTAGGTGTAAGGTTAATATACCATACAAAGGCTCCCCCGGTTAGAGAATTTGGGAACAATCTTAACTTCATGTAGTTATTATTGGTAAATTCACCACACTGAGCATCGAACCTAGCAATATGCTCAACCGTTGACTGGTTTTCATTCCCATAAAAAAGGCAAAGTCTGGTATCCTGAAACCTCTTGAGTATTCATGTACCCTATCTACCCATTCTGGGTACGGTTTCCTGTAGACAGGAGTCTGAACCCCCCGAGCCATTGGTCCACACATCTCTCTAACAATATCAGCAATTTGGTCCCTAGGAACCATATTTTTGTGCCTATTGAACTACTACTGGAGGAACAAACACAGGATTTGGTGGACAACCTTGTGCCTGGGGTCCTCTTGATCCATAGGGTGGTATGTTTGGGACTGGTTGTCCCTGTGATGCTGGCTGCTATTGGGGATATGGGTGACCCCTTTGAGCTTATCCTACAAAAGGACTTGCGAAAGGTGCTGGCACAAGTGTTGTGTCTCTTCCAGTTGTAGGAAAACCTTCCAACCCCCCGGGCATAAATTCGAACAAACGATTAGTGAACCCCCTCGTGCCAGGTATGGCTTCAAACATGAGATTTAGAACCATCCTTACGCCATTATCTTGTGTTGGGCCAGATCCACCAATTTGCATGGCTTCACTGTTAAGAAATGAAGCATTTTGATTTGTCATAGGCCTTGAAAGAGGCTCATACTAAGACTGAGCTGGAGGTCTTTCATGGTTTTGGTTGCTAGTTTGACCATTAATATGCCCATTACTTTGCATAGGCTGTTTATCTCTACCCAATCTTTGCTGAGGGACATTTGAATTTTCCTCTATATGTCTTGCATTAGTTGGTTGATGAGTATTCATTCGATCCAAAAAGGATGTTGCCCATCTTTCCATTGTGTTCATTAACTGCTGTCCCATGGCATCTACTAGACCTCCCCATGGGTTCATTGGCTGAACAGATGGAACAGTGGATGGTCTAATTCCTTAGCCTCGTCCAATACTTTGAACATGTGGTATTTGTTCTGAAGTGCTGGTCTGTTCGACCATAGGTTCTGACACAACAGATACCTCCACAAGATGTGTCATCACATTTTCCTCTGGATTAGGCATTTCTACCTCTCCTTCTACGCCTTCTTCTAAGCGTTCATTTTCTCATTATCTCCTACGTCTAGCCATTTTAATTCAGGTCCCACTGGGCATACCAAAAATATATGTTGGTTTTTTAGCTTTCGAAGGTTATATTTGTAATTATGAGCGTATCAGTAAGGATCAATCAGTCCTTAAAGAATGTTAATTGCCAACCAATTATCAGACGATTGTGTTTTAGTTCTTTCAACCTTAATGAAGAGAACTTTTACTGGTGGCTTTGTTTAGGAAAAATTAAGTAAACAATAATTAAAGAAAGGACAATTGTAATATTTCATTAAGTAAAATGAAAGACTTACAAAGATCCAAATCAGCCTCGTAGAAGTTTACAGCAACAATCTACTTGAAATTACTCCTATGAACGAAGTGCAGTGCAGGAATTTGAAGTACAGAAATGTAAAGAACAAGAAATGTAAAAAACTGGAAATAATGTAAAGTAGATATAAATTAGCTTTCTAGATTTGAGTCTGAGGTTCTTTATGGGGCCTTCTCTGTTATTTATATTTCTCAATGGCAACCGTCAAACTGCATTTCTAACCGTCGAACCATGCTTCCATGATTGCTGATCATGTTGCCTTATAGTTAGCTCCACTATGCCATATCTGCAGTTAGGTCTCCCTCTCAATTTTGAATTTAAATATGAATAACCATTGAAGTCACATCAACTTACATTTCTTTGCTGATCCAGTGCTACGCAGATCTACAAAAACCAATACTAACTATCACGTGCATGATTATGATTGAAGACTTGAATTGTTTTCTCGTTTTGTCCTCATCCTGTCACGTGTTAAATCGTGATTGACTTGTACAAAATATATAACCAACAGATATACGTACATCTCCTCACAAACAGCATTCGGTGACTTTTTGAAATGTTAGAAAAATGTTAAGCAAACACTTTCTATCATGGCAGGTAACTATAGAATATGGAGCCATCGTCACTTTCAAGTAACAAATAGGTCCAAATTGGCCTATCTCAAGCCTCGGGCTCTCATGAACCTTTGAAGATTTGCTCAACATAACTTCCTACAACAATGATAAAAACTATTAATTTTGGAGCTCTAAAAAGATCACTAATGACATGGCACTCAATAAAAAAAGAAAAAAAATACAACACCAATGCCAAAATATCAAATCATTCATGGTGGAGCCCACTGTCACATCATTAGTAGTAGCACTAATTAATACTCTCACTCATTTTTCAACTTCCTAATGTCGCCTTTTAGGTTCTTTAGGACAACTACAACCGTCTTGTCTCCAAGGTTGCGAACACCATGCAGATAACTCACTATTTATAAGTAAGAACTATCATTCTTGTGTTTGTGACTTTCTTTTCTCCAACTTATAATAGATTATAGAGTATTCATATTTAAGTGTTGAGATTGAAGAAGTCAATTCAATGTAATATTTTTTAGGAAACATTCAAATTAATGAATAAAAATTCATAGAAATTTTAAGGTTCATTATTTTAGATTAGAATATCTATTTTTCGATCTTTTGTGTAATTTATACTCTTCTGAAATTGAATTGTTGTTTCCCTAAACACTTTAGTTATGTAATCAAAATAATGTGTTAGATTTTATTTCAGTGGTATTTACATGACAATTTTAATCTTTTAACGAACAATAGTGTTGGAGATGAAAAATTCAAATACAAAAAGGTATTAAAAAAATAATGTATAATCCAAATTCATTTTAAGTATGGATTCTGTCATACAAGAATTGAATCTAAATCAAATAATAATTTTTTAAATATTTTTTTGTGTATGAACTCTTAATCCATTATCACTGTATAGAAAATGCTAGTAGTCATTCAATTAATTTCTCTCTCTCTTTTGATTTTAGAGAGATTCAAAATGAATTATAACAAATTCATTTATTTTAATGCTTTCAAAAAAAATTAAAAATAATCTCGAATAAGACTTCAAAAAAAAAAAAAATCTAAAATTTGATCCAAAAAAAAAAAAAATCTAAAATTTGATCTTGCAACAAATCAAATCTTAGATTTGATCTTACAACAAATCAAATCTTAGGGAGGGCATTAGTGAAGGAAAAAATTTCGCAGAGGGAGATTAACAACGATTAAGGTCAAGTTTGACATATCTCAAATAATTCATCTTTTTATCTTTTTTTTATCATATCACCTCTCTACTTTTTTGTACATCTTTTCGTAAAAAGATAAAAAGTGCACTTATTTAGGTCATTCCAAACAACCTTAAAAGATTGTGTTTAAATAAAATAAAATAAAAAATCGAATTTAAATTTTCAAAATAAAAAATAAAATTTTTAATTTGTTTAAATGGTCAAAACACAAGATTTTATTTATTTTTTTGTAGTTTCCCTTCCTTTTAAATTTTCTTTTCTTTTCTTTTCTTTTCTTTTCTTTCCAAATCGTGCCATCCAAGCGGGCTGCAAGCAAAGTCTCCCACTGTGTAACTCCAAAACATTAGAACAGAAGGGATCAAACTAGGGCAATTGCAAATCAAGCCCAATCGGACTCCCAAATCAATCAAGTCTCGCCTCAATCTATCATTTTTCAGTATAGAGACGAAGAAGAAATGGAATTCCGATGCATAGAGTGCGGATTTCGGATTCGTAACAATAAACCACTGTTCGTTCAATATTCTCCTGGAAACATTCGCCTCATGAAATGTGTATCTAATCCTTCATCTCATTTCTTTCCAATTTTATTTTTTAATTTAATTTTAATTTTTTTTTTCTAATCGTGAATTTCCTCTGAATCAAATTTGTGTCCTTTAATGTATTGCAGGAGAACTGCAAAGCAGTTGCAGATGGGTATATAGAATGCGAGCTTATGGTAAATCCTAATCAAATATTAAAATTAAAAAAAAAAAAATTTGATTTTGAGTAGAATTATGATGTTGGAAATTTGGTAAAATTTTTGCCTCCTATGATTTTCGATACAAGTTTGATGAAATGATGAGAGCTCAGTTTTAGCTATTTAATCATCAAATTTGAAATTTGATGAAACAATTGGTGAATGATTGATTTGATACTTTAATTTTTGTTTTGTTTTGTTGTGTTGTGTAGATTCTTTTAATTGATTTGATACTGCACAAGCCAAAAGCATATAGACATTTACTATACAATGTGCTCAATCCACAAGTTGTGAGTCTTGAGGTATAAACAAACATGGCTTTATTCTCTCCGTGTTCTTCTTTGCTATTAATCTTCATGTGATGCTGACTTGTAAAATCAAACATTTGTCTCTGTGATGCTTCTTCTATTTGAGCATTGAAACTTGGCGTATTTATGTGAACTCAGACGTTTCGTAACTCATGAGAGTCTGTGGTTGTTCTGTTTAGACGCATACTGATCTTCTATGAGGACACCTCTATCAGGGCAATATTCCATTTGTGCTGATTTTTCTGACTTTAATTAACATGTAGACATTGTTATGACTTTGCAGGGCTTGTTTTGGAAGTCAATTTTCGCTTTCCTTCTTCTGGATACTTGTATCCTTTTCATGAGTGATGTCATTTTGTTTAAATATTAATGATCTTAAATAGTGTTTATAAACTCATCTCCCAATGTTGCATTGTATGCCTTAGCATTTTAAGACAGGATACTGGTCTTAAATTGGAGTGACGCGGGATGGAAATTGCCCATCAGGTTTTCTTCATTAGTTTTGAGATATGGAAAGGTTTGCCTACATTCTTCTTCTTCTTCTTCTTCCTTTTTGCTGTGAATAAGAAAATGAATTTCAATCATGAAAGTGCGTGTATTGAATTGGGATTAAATAATGTCAATTGTAGATGTTGATGGATCTCCTTCTTGGAAACTTCATGTTTCTCTACATTTTACTCATTGTCACAAGATTTTTTTTGGACAAATCGGCTGGAGTTTCTCGGTAAAAGTTTTTGGTTTTTTAAAGCTGTTTTATTCTGCTTCTCAAGTTAGCAGTAATGAGAATGTGCTTTATTTGTCAAAAGACTATTGCTTACCTTGAGGCAAGCCCCTGAGAATTTGTAGTGTGGAAATCGTGCCAGTAAAGCTTATCTTTTTATACACAATTTTAACTTTTCAGTCCTGAAATCAGTTTCTAGTGTAAAGCAAAACATTGCTATGTCTTCACTGGAAGTTGTCTTGATATTGATTTTTTTGTTTTGCATCCAAGTTGTTAACTCTGTGCTGTTTAGAATGTTATGGCAATCAAAAACATATTCCTAGAATGAGTCCCGTTTATTAAGTTGAATTAAAGATCAGAAAGATACCAAAAGAGAGATATACATATATGAAAAGTTAACAGTAGAATTGTGAACAAGATGAGAAAGTTAACTAAGAAAGATGCATTGGTCTCATACAGTTGAGGCTGATGATTGCACCGACAAGTTTGGTTTAACGAGAAGTTGATAGAAAGGGCAAGAGAGAAACCTAGACATACGTAAACTCAATTTTGAAAGCAATAAGCTAATTTTTTTCTCCATTTCTCTCACCTATCCCTTTCACTTTCCAAATCTGTGATCCAAACACAGCTTAAGTAGAGTTATTTATTCTCTGTGTACCTCTGCTTTATTCTATCTAATTTTGGGTATCTATGCAGGTACAAAGATATTTTGCTTGCTATCTTTATTTCTAGCTACTTCAAGGTCTTTTTCATTGCCATGATGGTAGGTTTTCATATGTCACTTATCCATCAATATTAGCCTTCTAGTACAAAATACATTAAATGTTTCCTTTCTTTTTCTTTCTTTCTTTCTTTCTTTCTTTTTTTTTTTTTTCAAAAATAAATATAGTCTATAATATTATTCATGCAACTTAGTTTATCCCTTTATCTTTGATTATGCTTTTTGCAGGTTTGGGAATTTCCAGCTTCAGTGCTTTTCATCATTGATATATTTGTTCTGTCATCCAATACAGTGGCTTTGAAAGGTCAGTATGAAGAAGATGAAGTGTTTATATACATCACTTACCAAAAAAAAAAAAAAATGAGAAAAGAAAAGAAAAAAATATTGTTATTTTCTATTTCTGTGAAGCTTAATGGATATCTATTATCTATAACACATCAGATTGTGTGTCATGTCTATATCCTTCATCTCTGATATGACTTAGATAATTCTATTCCCACGGGCTTACCGTTTCTTCAGAGTTCCACTACATATTGAAGAACTTGGGACCCATAAGCATTGCTGTCACTAGCCTAAGCATATGTTAATAACTCTTCTTTTGTTGTTTTAATGTTATTCAACTAAGGGTTGGTTTGGTAAATGGCTTTTGTCTAAAATATGAGGTGAAAAAATTGAAGTGTTTGGGAATCGCTTTTTCCGAAAAAACATGCAAAAAGTAGGGAGAAGGCAAGGAATCTTTGACTTTTTTTATACGTTTTTTTGGCTTTTTGACTAAAATTCTTTCTTCCCAAATGCACCCTTGACTCCTCTTTCACAAACACTGGTCTTGGGTTACTGTTCACAGCTCAAAGCAGTCTTGTTTTCAGCCTCAACCCCCTATTAAATCAAACACAAATCACCTCCAACCTTTTTCCTTACCCTTTAGGCTTCAATTCTATACCTTTTGAAACCTATACTTTCAAAGGATTTCCTGTAAGCTGTTTCTGAAAATCCTGCAAACTAAACTTTTTTCTAATTGAAAACATTTTGAAGTGTTTTTTTACCTTATAAAACCCTTACCCTAGAAACTTTCCATAACTGAAACCGACCAGATTCAAATTGTAGACAACCTTAGTCCAAGTTTATCCTAAAGTTATGGTCAATTAGTCAAGACTTGATAAAAAGGAGCGTTATAATCGATGCTCAAAGTTTTCACATATGGCAAGCTAAGAATGGCTGCATGAATACTCGGAAGACCAGTTGAGATCATAGTGAGGACATTTCCTAGAGCTTGGGTGCTCAAGTTGGTTTGGTTTTAAATCATGTTGAGGGGAATTAGCATAAGCATTCTAAGAAGTCTTTCACAAATTTAGGTTTTGGTGGGGAAGGGGAGATTTAATGCTTGTGTACTGCCTTGAATGTTTTAATGATGTCTTTCACTTTTAATTTAGGACTGGATGTTTTAAGAAGGATCTCTATAAATGCATCATCTGTAAATATAAGGATGTCTAGCCCTATTCTATTCTGTTAGTAAAATAATATTTTTATGTAGAATATTGCTGATTGGTGAACATCTATTGTATGACAGCATGCTTGCTGCTATTAAACCAACTGACCAGGCTCTCTCTCTCTCTCTCTCTGTTTTTTATGTATCAGTTATAACTGAGTTGTCCGTTGATAAATGTTTCGGGGCTTGCTTCAGTGCATATGCTGTCAAGTTCTTAGTCAAAGGAGCACTTGACATCATCTGCCAAGATCATTGAAATAATTCATCATCTTTATTGCCAAATGACTTCTAAGTTCAAATGCAGCAAATCAAGTAATAGTTCTTAATAATCTTCTTCTTCTTTTATAATCTTTTTTTTCTTCCAGTTATTAGTTAATTCTTTTCCCTCTACTAATATAATGATAGCATGCTTGGCAGTGCAGGTGTGAATATTATCTTTGATCGACAGATTTTTTATCACTTGAACAAGATGGATGACTCTAGCTTTCACGACTCTGGGAAAACCGGCTAGCTAGGGAGTGTTGTACGCACAAGTCGTTATCATTTTGGAACAAGCACAGCATGTTGTTCACCATTTTTGTCTTGACAATTGGTCACTTTGACATGAGATGGGACAAAAGTCTGAACTTATAATAAACAGAGAATCAATCATTCATTCCTGTGACGAGGTTGTCTTGCCAAGCTTCAATTTGGGGTGGGGAGATGGATACCCATCCCAAATTTGAAATTGGTTAGAGGATTTTTGCCGGCGTGCCTTGATTGGGTAACAAATACTCTTTAAGGCACTAATTTTATCGGCATTTCTGTTCTACCTTCTCTCTCTTCCTGGAAATCTTGTATGCCTATTACGTTGTTACTCTTTGAAGGGAGAGAGGAGACTTTATTTTTATTTTTTGTGTAATTGCTATATTATCACTGGAATACATATTATTTGCTTTCATTAGTGGCTTAGTAATCATTTTCAAACAAGAGAACCAATTATGAGTATTTATGTAAATGGTGATATAAAATGATGACAACGTTAATGATATAGCATGGTTTTCTCTCCTACATTCTTTTTTCCGGAATAGGCTAGTTGGGCCTGTTGAGTCTGCTACAATCCTTATGTGTAAATTATTCATTAAAAAAAATTATAATCACATAATTTCAATGTCGTAGTTAAATTTTTTTTTTTTAAAAAAAAATTCTATTTTAAAACTACAATTCAATCATGATAGTGATTATTGAATTTTTTTTTTTTTTTTTTTTTTCAATGAATGATTAAGCACAAAGACAAAATAAATGATTTAGATCACTCAAGTAAGGCTCTACAACAGGCCTAATTGCACCGCTTACAATATAAAGGATTATATATTTTACATGAAAGTAAGCTCAATAAAAATATATAATATTTTTAAACCTCCTAAAAGTATTATTGTAAGTGGGTTTCAATGGAATCACACTTTCCAACCATCGGGTTTTAAGAGGATCTTGTGCGCCCCTAAACAGAGGAAGTTGTTGTTGCCATCATTCTTTCAATATTATGGAAATAATTGAATCAATGATTTTTGTGTTAATATAAATGTTTTCCATCTCAAACTGCAAGAAAGAAAGAAAACAATCTCAGGAAAACAAATACATTCTCATGTAAGTTTGGGACTTTTTCTTGCCACATTGTCTGAAAAAGGAAAGGTCAAAACAATTTATAAAGGGTTATCAATTAGCACCAACAAAAAAACAGAATAATGCATACACAAAAAAACTGAGTGGCCATTGAGGGCGACAAATGCTACAAATAACTAGCTTCGCATTACAAGGTATGGACTTTCAAAATTTCCAGTCTTCTTTGATTACTCTTTTGCCAAGTACCAAGAAACTTGGTTGCGAGATTACCAAAATCACATCACAAGAAAAACCTTGTGCCACTTGTGTCCATTTCCGGCTAACATTCAAAGTGGAAAAAAGAAAGAACCGAAAGCAAAAAATAAACGAATTAGACAAATCAAATAAATAAATCTATAGGAAGGAAAGATTTTCAGATTGATATAGAAGAAAATTTGTAAGCTTAGTAACTTACCTTGTGAACCCACTCATATTCACCGCCTTTTATTTCAAATGTTCCATGCTGCAGACTGATCAACTTCAGCGTGAGACAAGGACCACATTCCTGTAAGTTTGGAAATATAAAATTTGTTCAGGATGTAGTCATAAACCAAATGGGTTTTGAATCAAGAAAACAAAGGTTGATATAACTAATGATTAACAACAGTCCTCCAAAAACCGGTATTACTGAACTCAAATGCCCCCATCAAGAAATTCAGTATCATAATCTGAGAAATCAATGTTCCAATCCAACACCAATCCAGCCAACAATATAGTAATAGGCAGTGGAAATAGGTCAGCATAATAAATTGGACAAATAGTTTCATCTTTAGTCAGAATCTAGACATCACAACCCTCCATCATCCAGTCTAGGGACCACCTTATGATGATAAAAGGACTCTCAAATATGAGACAAGTGAAAAATAATAATATAATGGGGAATTTACAATCCAGTGGGTTTTTCACAAAAAAATAAAAATAAAATCATATACATGGAAAATTATATAATGTTAATTATTAATATTTATAAAATTTGTCATCAAATTCTACAATTTCCAGAAAGGTGAGATCTAGGCAAAGCAAATTTTCTAAAAGCCAGAAATAAACTAGTAAAAGCCATATAAATATTGATCACAGAAACAAAAAGATCAGGAAGGCACAAACCTGAAGGCAGGCAATTGTTTTGTCTTGAGTGCCATTTTCGTCCTTATTGTCCTTGACCTTTTTACCTTTTGACTCACTCTGTTTATTTTCTTTGGTTTAAAAAATGTACCTTCACACACAATAACAAAGTGTAAAAAAATCCTCATAGTCGAATTTCAAAATAGAGCATCCCATAAGTGTAGCAAACACTCACCGCTGATGGCGAAAGAATATAAAATCTCGCTGATCGTGAAAAACAGACTGTATTAGCCTACATGAGATAAATAGACACATAACACAACAGTCAGCAACAGAAAGAGAAACTCCAACTCCATTCCATTCCATTCCATATGGCATGGTTGACCATGCACATAGTAATAGATTACGAAAAGCATCTTTGAAAAATGGATTTACAATGATGCCATCTATCCTATTTCCATAGTTGTTTTGGAAATGGGATGTTCATAAATATAATTTTGAAGAAGGGTAACATGGGCAATGATGATTAAAGGTTTTGAATTTTAAAACTATGACACATGAAGTAAGGCTAGGGGTGTGCATGTGAACCAAAAAATCTACAATCCGAACCAGTCCAGTCCAATCCGATAGGTTTGGTTTGGTTTTTTAATCCGTGGTTCTAAATTGGTTTGAAAAATTAGCAATCCGTTGTTTACGGATCGAATCTGGATTATGATACACGGTTCCGGATTGAATCCGATCCAGATTGTTTACTATCCCACCCTACCATTATACCATACACCCGACTGCATACAATCCCAACCTTTTACATATATAACCCTAATAAGGAACCCTCCAAAGGAAAAAAAGGAAGTGCTGCTCTCAATAGAACTACCACTAACTATCAATAATCAATTTATTAATATTATAGGTTGATTTAGCATAAATTTAGTTTTGCAACTGTTATTGTCACGACAAAATGTTTGTTAAATGAGAGTTTTATTTGCTAGATGTTGAGCTTGTGTTTATTTGTTAGATGATAAACTTATATTTATTTGCTACATATTGAATGGCTTTAAAACAATGTCATATGATTTTTATTGTGTGAAACTGTGATTTCAAACTAAATCGATCCGTGTTTAAATGGTTTAGTTCAAATTGGTTCCATGGTTTAAATGGTTCAGGTTGGTTCTAATTTTTAAGAAATTGTAATTCACGGATTGGTCCTAGTTTCATCCCAAACCGGGTCAAGCTGGACCATGCTCACCCCTAAGCAAGACTACCAAAAATGGATTGTGATTCTCTCCATTGCATATTCATAATGGAGAGGTTCTATTACATCATCCAACGGTGAGTGTAATGATCTTTTTTAATTTAAAATAATTATAAATTTACAATCCTATTTGATAGTCATTAGATATATAATGAAAATTCTCTATTACATATATAGAATGAAGAGGATCAAAGCCCACCAAAAATGGGCAAAGGGAGTGAATATTTGATATGTATATATCCAGATTGGTAAATAAATCAGACACACTCAAAGAAGTAGAATGAGAGAGAGAGAGAGAGAGAGTGAAAAATTTGTCCAGAAAAATATGTAACTTACTTCTGTTATTTTTCCAGATTGACTGTAACTTATTCTATCAATTCTTCCAAATTTTGTATGCAGAGCGACTTGCTTAAATATCAAATGGAAAACATTTGTACAAGAGAGAGAGACAGTATGAATCAGTGGACCTTAAGATCTTTGCACAAAACAAGCTTTGGCAGCTTGAAATGAGAGGTAGGACCATCAGGTAAACCAATGACTAGGAGAGCATGTACAAAACAACCACCAGAATTGAATCTTGTAATAGTTTCAATGACAACAAAAAGGAAGGAAAAAGAAAAAAATGCTAAGAATGCTAACTGGGTTCCCTGGGATTAGTACGGGCAACTATTATGGAAGTGAAATCGTTTTTTCTTGCATATTCTACAATCGGCAGAAACATTACGATGTTATTGTGGATAACAAAACAGCTTACAGCATTAAATCCAATCCTATAGTCTTATTTCCAATCATCAAAAAAAAAGAGATGACAATTAATAATTTAAAAAGCAGCACCGTTTTCAAGTCATAGGTTCCTCTCTTGTAGTAATGAGCATTTGGCATTACAGAAAGCAATTCTGATATGAAAGCAGGCCCCCTCTGTATATTACACAATATACCAACCAAAAACAAATTAAAATCTTTCATAATGAATCTCAGTTAAGAACAACACTATCCATAAACATTGGAAGAGTGAAGACATTAAAAAGAATAGTAAATAAAGGCAAATGATTCTACACCAACTGACAAATTTGACAAGAAAGCATACAGTAGAGTTGAAACGGAAAGTCGTGTTCAATATCTTTGGAGTGCATTCACGCTTCAAAATTGAACTAAATTCATCCACATCATTACCAGCAAACAGCTGCAAATGAACACACACATGCAAATGCGAAGTCAATACATATGTAGGTTTTGCTAATTTTTTTCCCTCACAGCTAAATGCTACTACAGGTAGAGATGACTTAGAGCTTCTCCAATCCTTCATCTTTTCTTTAATCAAATTTAAATTTGATGAAAAATTACTCAAAAATCATCTCCAATCCCTTCACTAAATGTTCATCAAATCAAAGAAGACTCATTTTTTTCATCAAATTGAGAGCCCATCAAATTTAAATTTGATAAAATTTTAAGAAGATGTAGCATTTAAGATGATTTTTTTCATCAAATTTGACGAAAAGGAAATTTTTATAAACATTTTGATGAAAATTTGACCAAAGGATTGGAGTAGTTCATATCAAATCAAACTTTTTATTCAAATTTAGAATCAAATTAGATGAAAAATTTGGTGAAGGGTTGGAGATGGCCTTATATGATCAAGAAGAAGGGGTGGAGAAGAAGGTGTAGCAGGTGGTGGAGGGAGGGGAGGTGTGGTGGCGGTCTGCAACAATAGATGAGTGTGTGCAATTGAAACTAGGACATGCCATAGAAACCTAGTCCTATAAATGGAAAATACAAAAAAAATTCAAAATGACAACAATTCAAAAGCAATGCCCTTAACATTACAATTCAAAAGCTCTGCTATGCCAAGATTGTCACACCCTAAACTTTGATACCATTGCCACGCCCCAAGTAGCCTACTAGCCCAGCAACTTAAATAGAGTAGGTCTACCAACATGACTCAAAAGCTTTAAGCCCGTATTGCTAGTAATATAATCCACTTGATGCTTTATATTGCTAGTAACAGTTCACTTGTAAATAAAAAGCATATTGCTATGATTCATAATTGCAAAGAATACCCATATTTATGTCCTAACAGCATTTGCTCATTATTTACAACATCTTAAACTAGTGTAGCATGTCCCAAATAGTTGATATCTCATACAATAAATCTACTGCACCTAGTGAGCTTCTTATTTTCTGGTTGTGCATCATTAATTTAGTGGTAAATTCTAACAAAGTGTACCTGATTAAAGTAAGTAACCTTGTATTGTAGCTGAATTGGCCACCACAGTATACAAGGGCATTGAAAAATAATCAAACAATATACTGTAACAAGTGTGTTTCTGTTAGTGTATCAGCTATTTCTGTTAGTGGTTCGGTTACCAATAATCGTGACAAGAACATGAGCCACCCCTGAAATGGTGAAACCGAGTAGCATCTCTCACAATGATTTCTCTCCCCACAAGTTTGGTGATAAATTTTATTGCGGAGTGACAGTCATCGCAGACTCTAAGGTTCTTCATAATCCTCAAAGTAGTGTTCTCCGGCGTATTTAACAGACCAAATGCAATGGCAAGCTTTTCACTATGATGTCTAAGAATCTGCTCTTTAACCTCTTCATCAAGGTCATGTAATACCGCATCAGTGTTGGGAATAAAACCCAACTTTTTTATCTCCTTCCAAATTTTTTCCATCATTCGATAAATCACCTCTCTCTGAGGGTGCAACCCATCATCAACCCCGAAGACATGGACTTCGTTCTTAATCTGAACCCAACTAAAACCCTGTTCTTTTTTCACCTGTTTATCCTTCATCGACTTCCTAATCTTAGCAGCATCTTCCCATTTTCCACAGGCAGAATAAACATTAGCGAGGGCCGAGTAGGCCCCGCTATTCTCAGGCTCGATAAGAAGCAACCTCTCGGCTGCAAATTTCGCTAGCTCCACATTTTTGTGAACTTTACACGAAGCCAAAAGTGAACCCCAAGCTATGACATCCGGCTCAATTGGCATGCTTTCTATGAAAGCTTGAGCTTCTTGGAGCAGCCCAGCACGCCCAAACAAGTCAATCATACAAGCATAATGACTCAAGGTTGGTTCGATTCCATGTGTATCTTTCATCAGTTTATAGTAGAACCGGCCTTGTTCTACCAATCCCACATGCGTACACGCAGAAAGCACGCCAACATATGTAATATGATCGGGCTTAATACCAACATTCAACATCTTCTCAAACAATTCCATAGCTTCTTCTCCGAGTCCATGTTGAGCTAAAGCAATGATCATGGAAGTCCAAGAGACCGTATCTTTGTTTTGATGTATCAAATTAAATACATGCCTTGCACCATTGATGCTTCCAGCTTTGGCATACATGGCGATCAAAGCATTACTCACTGAAATAGATGATGATTCCCCGAACCTAATTGCTCTTGTGTGGATTTGTTTTCCATGGTCTAAAGAAGCCAGGCTTGAGCTCACGCTCAACATAGCTGCTAGAGTATAGCTGTTAGGCTTGGGGCCATCTATAACCATTGACCGAAAAAGTTTGACTGCATCATCATTGAAGCCATTTTGCATATAACCAACTATCATTGCTGTCCACGCAACCACATCACGGTCTCTCAACGAGTCAAATATTTGTCTAGCAGGGTTTATATCTCCGAGCTTGATGTACCCATCGAGAAGAGCTGTAAATGCTATTACATTAAGATTTGAAGTCACACTTTGATCCAAAATCTTTCGAGCTATCCCAACCCCACCTGACTTGGAATACATGAAAATCAAAGCATTTTCAACTGGCCCAGAAGAATTGAATTCAGTTCTAATAATATGAGCATGAATTTGTTTTCCAAGATTCAACTCCTCGAGATTGGCACAAGCTGACAAAACACTTGCCAATGTGAACTTATCGGGCTTTAAAGAAGTGTTCTTTAACATTCTTGAGAACATATCCAACGCCTGAAGATCGAATCCATGCTGATTGTAACCTGCAATCATTGAATTCCACGAAACTACATCCCGTTCGCACATTTGTTCGAACTGGGCCAGAGCAAGATCTAGCTTCCCAGATTGCATATGCAACGAAACCATAGCGTTCCAACTTGATACACTCTTCAACTTTATCCTATCAAAAACAGTCTTCGCGGTCCTTGGATCGCCAGACTTTGCGTACATGTTGAGGAGGGAATTAGCTACACTGACATAGCTACTGAGCCCAAGTTTAACAACAAATGAGTGAATCTTCCTACCAATAGCCAAAGCTTCTACACCAGCACATGAAGCAAGAATATTTGTAATTGTGAACTGGGTTGGCAAAACTCTACAAGAAATCATATCTAGAAACATTTTAATCCCATTTTCAACACAACCCATCTGTTTATAACCTATGATCATCGCAGTCCACGAAACCGAATCAGGCTCAGGCATTTCGTCAAAAACCTGGTACGCTAAATCAATCTTGCCCTGTTTTGCATAAGCTGATAGAAGTGTATTCGAAGACGATGCGTTCTTCATAGGCATTTCATCGAAAACTTGGTGGGCATCAGAAATGTGCCCACTTTTAGCATAGAAATTGATCAGATTGTTCATCAAAAACACACTTAATTGAAGCCCGGATTTGATAATCTGAGCGTGAATCGATTTTCCGGCAAATGGGTTCTTGGTCTTGAGGCTTGTTTGGAGGAGAGACGCATAAAAATCCGAAAGAGATAGAATTGGAGGCTCCATTAGAGATTAAGCTTACGCGCAAAAATGAGGGTTCGAATTCATATATACTCTTTCCAATAAAGCTTAAACGCTATGTGGTGGTTGAAGAGACTCTGGCTGTGCTGCATGGTGGTTGAAGAGAGTCTTGGTGTGTTTGGTTTGGTTTTGAGAGAGATTTTCAAAAAAAAAAAATTGGTGAGAGTTTAAAAAAAGTTTTGGTGGATTTGATTATATATTTTGAAAGTAGTTTGGGAGTTTGGGAGTTTGAGAGTTTGGATGATTTAGCCTCTGTTTGGCAAGTTGGTTCTTGGGTTTTTTTGGCTATTTTAGCCACAAAAGACAAAATAGGCTATTTTAGCCATAACAAACAAAACATCACATCCAACCCATAATCATTACATTCTTCTCTCACAAAAAAACTCAAAAAAGCCAAAAAGCCAAAAAGCCAACTCACTTCCCAAACGGAGGCAAAGAGATAGAATTGGAGGCTCCATTAGAGATTAAGCTTACGCGCAAAAATGAGGGTTCGAATTCATATATACTCTTTCCAATAAAGCTTCAACGCTATGTGGTGGTTGAAGAGACTCTGGGTGTGCTGCATGGTGGTTGAAGAGAGTCTTGGTGTGGTTGGTTTGGTTGAGAGAGATTTTCAAAAAAAAAAAAATGGTGAGAGTTTAAAAAAAGTTTTGGTGGATTTGATTATATATTTTGAAAGTAGTTTGGGAGTTTGGGAGTTTGACGGTTTGGATGATTTAATATTTTATTAAAATTAGTAGATGTGTGTGAGAGAAAAAGAGAAGAGAGAGAAAAAATAATTGATTCATGTGTATGAAAAGAAATTGATTTTGAAATTTTTTTGAGAAAAATTACAAACCAAATAAAATTTTAGACAAAAATTTCAAAAATAACCCTTCCAAACGCAAACCAAACAAGCCTTATGTGTTCAAAAAAAAAAACATGGGTAAATTACATTGATACCTCTTGAGGTTTATGTTTATTACAGTTTCTCCCTCTCACCTTTGGAATACATCTCCTTGCTTGAGGTTTAAAGTTTTTTTACAGATTGCTCCTTCAGTTAGGTGACTGTTAAGTCAACTAACAGATTTTGTTGATGTCAGCAATTTAATTTTTTTTAAATGCCAATTTTGCCCTCACTGGATAAATTACATTGACACCCCTCACATTTTAAAAATTACAATCTCCTCCCCAAGATTTAAAGTAGCATTACCAATTGCACCATCGGTTAGTATTAGTTGGAAAAAAAAATCATTGAAAAAAAAATTTTAATTGGGAAAAAAATTATTTAAAAAAAATTAATTGAAAAAAAATTTCGTTAGCCAAATTTTAAAATTTCTGTTTAAAAACCAACGTAAACTCATTTTTTGAATTTATGTTTTTTCCTCAAATTTACAAACTGGGACAACCATTTATAAACCAAAAAAATTAGCAAACAAGTTTTTATGACAAATTTTTAAATTTTTATAAATATAAATTGAAAACTGAAAACGAAATAGTTACCAAACAAGCCTCAGATGGTAAAAATGTCGTAAAATTAACAAATAATTAAGTAAGTTACCAACGTAAGAAATGACTTATCAAAAAATTCTTAGGCTATGTATAGTTGATTTTTAGAATTTTTTTTTAAAAATTAAAATTTTATTTGGTTAAGAAATAAAAAATAAATAAATATTATTATTTTTATATAATTTTTATCTTTCGAGTGGTTAGAAATAACTTTTTACAAATTAAATATATTTCTTCATATTTATTTTTATTCAATTTGTTTTTTTTTTTTAAATGTCAGGGGAGATCCGTATTAAATTGAAGTCTCAGTGGTGCCAATGTAATTTACCCTTTAAAGTATATGGAAAGGTTAAGGGTAAATATGTCATTTTAACTTAAAAATTCACGCCGTCAAATAATTACACTAACAAGGGAGTCAGAGTAATTTTCCAAATGTAAGAGAAGAACTGTAATAAACATAAATCTTAGGGAGTGTCAGTGTAATTTACTCAAAAAACATATAGCAACCCAACACCACGAACACAGAAAATTAAGCTCAATTCAACATTTGTATTTATACATAAATCTGGAGAAGAAGAACAAGAAGAAATATATATATAGAATAATGCTTGGGACCCCCTTTTGGGGTCACCCCCTCACCCCCCTTTGCCACGTGGTAGGTGGGGATTGGAGGAGCAGGAAAAAAAAGAAAAAGAAAAAGAAAATGTAACTAATGAGAGAGAGAGGGGGTCAAAGGGGGTGGGGAAAAATGGGGGATGAATCATTGTTGATATATATATATATATATATTGAGGGAAATTTGGTCAAAATTTCCTTATAATAATACTTTAATCAATTAAGGACAAGCATAAAAAAATTTCTTGAAAAGACCAACGCATACCATTATTATCAAAATATTAAACTTTAAAATAAGATAATTTTTGATGTAGATATCGATTTTTAATGAAATTAGTATTTTTAAAATTCTCTCATCAAGATCTATGTTAATTATGAAAATTTTAAAATATCTATATATATATATTATCGTCAAAATTGATGTTAACAGTAACAGTAACATGTTACTCAGTTTGACAATAACATGTTATTCTGTCTCACAGTAACGTGTTACACTGTTTGACAGTAACATATTACTCTAGCAAAATTGTCAACGAAGAAAAAATATTTTACTTTATCCTTACTCAATTATATGTTTTCTCCTTAGAAATTTATGAAACAAAATAAATTGAACGGACCTTTTTCACCAAACAAAAGTCCAATAAAAGGGTTTTGGCTAAATTTTCCAACAAAAAAACCCAACTCCGAAAACACAGAAAATTAGGGTTTGTTGATTTGGGGCATGATAGGAGGGGAAAAAAGGGATAATAATTGGGCCTCCACAAAAGAGTAAATTACGAAAGTTACCATCCTTGGGTTCTCTGATTTTGTTTCTTTGTAAGGGTAGAATTGTCAAATGCTGTAATTTATTTGTATTTTTTGTTTGGTTTGATTAATTTGTTTGTATTATTAGCTTAGTTGGTAGTGTTCTTTCAAGTGAAAGGAAAAGAAAATTTGTTTCATTCATTTAACTAGAAGGGTTTGGCAGGATGAGTAAGACCTGAACTTAGAGAATTGTTCCTTCGAAAGTCTCATGTTCAACTACTTTTGTCTATAAAATTTTTGGGATCACGGCTAGGAAGGAATAAACTTGTTTCAAAAAACTTGTTTAGATTATAAAAACTTAAATTGATACATCCAAGTTGACTGAGAATACCTTATAATAATAATAATAATAATCAAATCAAACCAAACCAAACCAAGCCTTAAGTCCCATCAAATGAGGTCGGCTACATAAATCTTTCTTCTCCACGCGGCCCTATCAAATGTCATTTCATTAGTAAAATTAAGTAAATTCATATATCTATTTATAACGCTAGTCAACGTTAATCTAGGCCTATTCCGTCCCCTAACACTTCCATTTACCGTTACAGCATCGCATCTTTTCACTACTGCCTCTGTTGGTCTCCGTTAAATATGACCAAACCATCTCAAACGATTCTCTCTAACTTATCTTCTATCGGTGCTACTCCTACCCATTCCCGAATACACTCATTCCTAATCCTGTTCTCTCTAGTCTTACCACACATCCACCTTAGCATCCTCATCTCAGCCATACTCATCTTACCCACATGTTGTTTCTTGGTTGCCCAACACTCCGTCCCATACAACATAGCTGGTCTAATAGCCGTTTTATAAAACTTACCTTTTAGTCTAGTGGGTATTCGTTTATCGCACAATACCCCAGACACACTTCTCCACTTACACCATCCCGCCTTAATCCTATGGGCCACATCTGCATCAATCTCTCCCGCTGTTGTGATAATCGACCCTAAATAACGAAAATGTTCATTCTTAGCTAGTTCTTGGTTCTCAATCTTCACTTCTCCTCTGCTTTCATTGTTCTTGTTACTAAATTACACTCCATGTACTCTGTCTTAGTTCTGCTTATCCGAAATCCTTTAGATTCAAGAACTTTTCTCCAAATCTCCAACTTTGTGTTAACTCCTTCTCTAGTCTCATCCACTAACACAATATCGTCTGCAAAAAGCATACACCTTGGCACGTCATCCTGAACATTTATCGTCAACTCGTCCATAACTAAAGCAAAAAGATAAGGACTTAAGGTAGATCCTTGGTGTAACCCTACAGTGATAGGAAATTCATTTGTCTCTCCAGCTGGCGATCTAATAGTGGTCACCACCCCTTCATACATGTCCCTAACCACGTCAATGTAGCATTTTGTCACCCCTTTCTTCTCTAACAACCACCATATGATATCTCGGGGCACTCTGTCATATGCTTTCTCAAGGTCGATAAACACCATATGAATGTCTCTTTTCTTTATACTTTTCTATTACTCTCCTCAAAAGATAGATCGCTTCCATTGTTGACCTACCAGGCAATAAACCTGAATTGATTCTCTAACACCTCTGTTATGTCTCGCAATCGGCGTTCCATCACCTTCTATCACACTTTCAATATATATATATATATTAATAATAAAATTTTGTTTCATATCATCTTTTTCTTTCTTATATTCTTTTTTCCAGAATAGGCCTGTTGACGGTGTAGTTGGCCGGTGGCGTCTGCCACAATCCTTGCGTGTTAATTATTCCAAAAAAAACAAAAATTACAAAATTCATAATCACATAATTTCAATGTATGTCTTGATTTAAAAGAAAATGTATTTTAAAACTACGATTAAATCATGATAATGATTATTGGTTTTTTTTATTTTATTTTATTTTATTAAGCACCAGCCACAAAATAAAAGGCTGCACATTTTACATAAAAATAAGTTCAATAAAAATATACTATATTTTAAACCTGCTACAAGTATTAATAATGTAAGTTGGTTTCAATGGAATCAAACTTTACAACCCTTGGTGGGTTTTAAGAGGATCATGTGCACCCCTGAATAGAGGAAGCTGTTGTTGCCATCATATTTTTTTCAACATGGAAATAATTGAATCAATTATTTTTGTGTTAATATAAATGATTTCCATCACAAACAGCAACAAAGAATGAAAACAATCTCAGGAAAACAAAAACACTGAATTCTCATGTTACTTTGGGACTTTTTCTTGCTACATTGTCTGAAAAGAAAAGGTCAACAATTTATAAAGGGTTATCAATCAGCACCAACAAAAAACAGAACAATGCATACTTAACAAACAGAATAGCCATCAAGGATGATAAATGATTACAAATAACTAGCTTCAAATTACAATGTTGCCGACTTTCAAAAAATTTCGTCTTCTTTGATTACTCTTTTGCAAGGACCAAGAAACTTGGTTGCAAGATTACAAAAACCACATCACAAGAAAAACCTTCTGCGACTTGTGTCCATCTCCGGCTAACATTCAAAGTGAAAAAAAGAAAGAAACGAATGCAGACAATAAATGAATTAGACAAATTAAATAAATAAATCTGTAGGAAGGAAAGTTGTAAGATTGATATAGAAAAAAAAAATTGTAAGCTCAGTAACTTACCTTGTGAACCCACTCAAATTCGCCGCCTTTTGTATCAAATGTTCCATGCTGCAGACTGATCAACTTCAGTGTGAAACGAGGACCACATTCCTGTGAGTTTGGAAATATAAAATTTTTTCAGGACACAGTCATAAACCAGACGGGCTTTGAATCAAGAAAACAAAGGCCGAAATAACTAATGCTAACAGCAGTCCTCCAAAAACCGGTTTTACTGAACTCAAACGCCCCCATCAAGTCATTGAGTATCATAATCTGAGACATCAATGTTCCAATCGAAACAGCAATCCAGCCAACAATATAGTGAACAGCAGTGGAATTAGGTCAACATAGTAAATTGGACAAATAGTTTTTCTCTTTAGTCAGAACCTAGATATCATAACCCTCCATCATCCAGTTTAAGGACCGCTTTATGACAAGAGAGGACTCAAAGTACGAGACAAGTGAAAATAAATTCAAATTCTACAATTTTCAGACATCAAAGAACATTACAAGCATATCCAAACCTCAGATATATCATCTCTCGAGCTTCACAATCAAAGCTGAAACATCTGGATTCACATGCTAAAGGATGTGTGCCTAACAAAAATTTAAAAGGTATCATAATGCGAATGTGATAAACATACAAATCATCCTAAAAACCTTCAATTCACCAAGCCTGACAATGTTCAACCTAAAAGTGCCATTTTCAGGCAAAACTAGCCCATGACTGTATATCCTTCTCCCTAGTTATAGGAAGAACCTTTCAAGATAACTTTATTCACTCTTTGCTACTGGAGATCAAGGTGAAAGTACAGTAGATAGATCTTATGGCTCTCTGTTTGATCTATGTTTATCCATGTATTTCCTGTCGAACATTAGGCCGCTTCACCAAATGGTTAAACAGACGAGTATCATAACAGCAGCCCCAAATTCTACTACCCCCCAAAGAGTTTCGAAAAATGCACAAGCCATTTTGCTCCAATTTTGTCCAAGCATTCATGCAATCAACCTAAATGGATTCCTAAAATTTCTAGAAGTCTGAGCGATTTGAGCAACAATTGCATAAGGGTGATATCTAGGCAAAAAAATATGTTCTAAAAGCCGGAAATAAACAAGTAAAATCCATACAAATATTGATATAGAGACAAAAAGATTAGGGAAGCACAAACCTGAAGGCGGGCAATTGTTTTGTCTTGAGTGCCATTTTCGTCCTTATTGTCCTTGACCTTTTTACTTTCTGAATCACTCTGTTTATTTTCTTTGGTTTCAAAAATGTACCTTCACACATAATAACAAAGTGTAACAGTAAATTCCTCATAGTCGAATTTCAAAATAGAGCATCCCATAAGCGTAACAAACACTCACCGATGATGGCGAAAGAATATAAAATCTCGCTGATTGTGGAAGGTTACCACTCGCCGTCCACGAAAATTTGGATCTTGTGGGAAAAGAGACTGTATTAGCCTACATGAGATAAATAGACACACAAAAGTCAGCAATAGATAGAGATACTCCAACTCCATTCCATTCCATATGGCATGATTGACCATGCACATAGTAATAGTTTACAAAAAGCCTTTGAAAAATGGATTTACAATAATGCCCTCTGCTCTATCCTATTTCCATAATTGTTTTGGAAATGGGATTGTTTATAAAAACCAATTCTGAAGAAGGGTAGGGTAACACGGGCCAGTGATGATTAAAGGTTTTGAATTTTAAGACTATGACACATAGAGCAGGACTACCAAAAATGGGCAAAGGGAGTGAATATTTGATATGTATATGTCTAGATTGGTAAATAGATCACACACACACACACTCAAAGAAGTAGAATGAGAGAGAGAGTTAAAAATTTGTACAGAAAAATATATAAGGAATAAGCAACCGAAATGTAGAAACCCTTATTGTTTCATATGAAGTTCCATGTCCAATGAAGTATGATTTTTGCAACTATATTTAAAACACATTTGATGAAAAATCTCAAACAATATTCAAATGTTTGAAACAATGGTAAGTACGGAAGAAGCAGCATGCAACCTCCCAACACGATGACCCAGGCGTGTCGTGAAGTTAGTCAACACTAGCTCAGGCTCATGACTCGTCGGGTTTCCATGACTCTGCAAGAAACATGCACCACAACAATCACATAATAGATATATACCATATAAATTCCGTCATATGCAATACCTTCTGACAATTCAGCAGCACCAAGCAATATGATCTCAATGCTTAATTTTGCTGAACCAAGCAGAGTATTCATAGTGAGACTCAAGGCTATTTGTTAATTTTTTATTTCTTCATTTTTCAGTACCACAGACCCAAAAACAAGTAATGGTAATTAGTTTTGCAGCTATTGTATGTGAGATCAAGTTAGTCAATAGGCAATAATATATAACATGCAACTTCTTTCTGCTATTTTTCCAGATTGATTGTAACTTATTCTATCAATTCTTCCAAATTTTGTATGTAGAGCAACTTGCTTAAATGTCAAATGGAAAACATCTGTGAGAGAGAGAGAGAGAGAGAGAGAGAGAGAATATGAATCAGTGGACCTTAAGATCTTTGCGCAAAACAAGCTTTGACAGCTTGAAATGAGCAGTAGGACCATCAGGTAAACCAATGACTAGGAGAGCATCTACAAAACAACCACCAGAATTGAATATTGTAACAGTTTCAATGACAATAAAAGGGAAGGAAAAAGAAAAAAGGCTACGAATGCTAACCGGGTTCCCTCCTGTTAGTATGAACAACTATTATTGAAGTGAAATCATTTTTTCTTGCATATTCTACAATCTGCAGAAACATTACAATGTTATTGTGAATAAGAAAACAGCTTACATCATTAACTCCAATCATATAGTCTTGTTTCCTAAAAAAAAAAGATGACAATTAATAATTTAAAAAGCAGCACCTTTTTCAAGTCATACGTTCCTCTTTTGTAGTAATGAGCATTTGGGATCACAGAAAGCAATTCTGATATAAAAGCAGGCCCCCTCTGTAGATTAAACAATATACCAACCAAAAAAAAATTAAAATCTTTCAGAATGAATCTCAGTTAAGAACAACAATACCATAAACATTGGAAGAGTGAAGACATTAAAAAGAATAGTAAATAAAGGCGAATTAGTCTAAGCCAACTGATAAAATTGAAAAGAAAGCATACAGTAGAGTGGAAACGGCAAGTTGTGATCAATATCTTCGGAGTGCATTCACGCTTCAAAATTGAACTAAATTCATCCACATCATTACCAGCAAACAGCTGCAAATGAACACACCACATCCGAATGCGAATGCGAAGTCAAAATACATATGTGGGTCATGTTAATTTTTTTTCCCTCACAGCTAAATGCTATAGGTAGAGATAACTTAGAGCATCTCCAACGGTGTATCTTTTTTTTCACCAAATTTGAGTAAAAATTTGAGTAAAAACTCTATTTGATATCAAGTGGTCTAACTGTTCCAACGGAGTATGTTGAACTTTCATCAAAACAACGGTCAGCCGGGCGGATCCGGTCAGTCAACCGGCCGGTGTAAATTTTTCACAAATTTTTGCAAAGAGGTGGTCATTCGAGGGGACATCCAGTGGTGAAAATACAACGGCTATGAAGAGTGAAACAATGAAAGGTCCCAGGCGTCCTCAATTTGGTGAAAGATTTTTGATATTCTCAATTTGACACTCATTTGTTGAAACCATTGGAGCAGGAAAAAGGGCAGTCTTACTCAAAAATCATCTCCAATCATTTCATCAAATGCTCATCAAATCAAGGGAGACTCATTTTTTTCCTCAAATTGAGAGCTCATCAAATCTTTCATCAAAAAAATGAAAAAGATGAAGCATTTGAGAAGATTTTTTTCATCAAATTTGATGAAAAGATAAATTTTTATAAACATTTTGATGAAAATTTGACCAAATGATTGGAGTAGTAGTTCATACCAAATCAAACTTTTTACTCAAATTTAGAATCAAATTAGACTTTAAAAAAAAAAAAGAAAAAATTGGTGAAGGGTTGGAGATGGTCCTATATATGATCAACAAACACAATTAAACACAATGCAGTTGTATTAACTTTTAAAACAAGATATCAATAAAATAAATAAAAAACACCTCTTCATCATCAGGTTTGCAAACAGTCTCATCAAGCTCCCTAGTATTCTCAATTGTGCGAGGGATCATCCTCGGCGGAGGCTGCATAAAAAAAAGAAAATTAAAAATTAAAACAAAAAAAAACAAAAAATGCCCACAAGAATTCAATCAAAACCCATCAATTGAATTCAAAAAACAAATCATTGGTAATGATAGACCTCTTCGCCGAGCTCAAGAGCTTGTTTTTCTGCGGCGTCACGAGCCTTGGACCTCTTACGCTTTTCAAGCTTCTTCTGATGCTTGAGCTTGGCGTGAACAGCCGATCTCTTCTCCTTGTTCTTTACCGTCGATGGAAGCAACTGCTTTCCCCTTTCCTCACCCCCTTCCTTGTTCTTCTTCGTTTTCCTCTCATCTCCATTGTTGTTCTCTCTGTTCTCCTCGATGAAGCCTTCGCTCTCGCTCTTCTTTCGCTTCGCCCCCATTACCGACCTTGAATTCGAAGATGAAGAGAGGATTAGGGTTTTAGTCTCTCTCTCTCTCTTCTTGCTTTTGGGCAGAAGCCTCCGGCTGCAGTGACCTCTCTTCTCTTCAAATCGTTATGAACAGATCGTTTATATTTATTTAGAGTTAATTACACTAACACCCCTTAATTATTAAAAAATATCGCTTTACTCCTCATTTATTAAATGTATTTAAGACAATGCAAAATACCGCTCAATCCGTTAAAATTATGCTGATTCACACAAATTCACACCGTTCTATCTTCTAACAGAGGATTAAAATTTAAAATTTATAATTCACCTTCAAAACTGCTTTTATCTGTTATAGTTAATACATATATATTTTTTAACTTCTAATCAAATATTAAAGTAAAAATAAGTGTGCGAGAGATTTAAGATATGAATTTTGTTACAAATTAACAGTTATATATATGAAAAACATTATGTAAAATTAGTTTGTATTACATATATGAAAAATATTATGTAAAGAAAATTAATATTGTATATTATACAAATGGTTGATAATTAGTTAAGAATATTCTTTAATCTACCCAAACCGTGATTTGATTATTTGTCAATCCGTCATTTCAAATTATAATTTTATTTTCAAATCATCCGAATTACACCGTGTACACCCTTAATTACACATTAACTCTTCAATTATGAAAATTGTACAAATACATTTCTTTCGCAGGTAGTTTAAAGAGGGTAAACATAATACAATTTTACAGTTGAGAGAGTTTTAAAAAGGGGAATTACACTTCAATTAGAGAAAAAAAAATTATACAAACATGAAGGGATGTAAGTATATGTGGACGCGCCCTCGGGTCCTGTGCTCTTCCACAGTTCGGACTCGTTTTGTGTCGGTTCTTAATCTGATCTTACAAAGTGCAATGCAAGACTGATAGGATCACCAAAGAGTCCAAATTCGGCAAATCGTTTTGGAAAACTGATTTTTAGAAAAAAAGTGCCAAACATAGACTGCTTTACCAGATACAGAGTCGTCACCTAAATATTTTTTATGGGGGAATTTAGGAAACCTTGACTCGTTTGCCTAAGGCCACGTGTCCGTCATCACCAAAGTTGTCTCGGCTCGGGAACTTAGGTACGATTGGGGAAGGTCAACTATGAGCACCCCCGCTCGCCCAATCAAAGATCGGCCTCTACTAACCATGATATCAAGTTTTAAAAATATTATGTGTTCATATTCCGGTTATTAGCCTAGAATTACTATGTGACGCGCACAACACAAAAGTATAAACTAGATTGCCTAATTTGGAACAAAGCATCGCATGTCCATTGTTTGGAAATGATTTGAGGTTTGCTACTCGCAAGTAGGCTAAAATACGGATTTCGATGAATTATTCCAATTCAAACAATCCAACCTTCACCCACAGGCATTCAGGCAGTAAATCAACTAAGCGGTTAGCCTCATGGCAAGCATGCTTTCATGTTAACATTTTTTTGGCTTAGCATATAATACAAAAAAGTTCTGTTTTTAGTCCCTCTAAATAGTTTATTTAGGGTGTTTTGTTGTTTGAGGTTGTTTGACCCCTCCTAAGCCTTGTAAGGCTCCATTTTGTGCTATTAGATAACATGTATTCAAGTTAGATTTGAAATACTATGCAGTTAGTATGATGCGCCGAGCCCGGTGCATGCAATACTGATGAATGAATGCACACATGCATAGCATAAGGATGCTAATTAAAATATGCCCTAATACTAACCATCAAAGCAGGTAAGTAAAAAGGAGAAAGAAGTGGGGGTTAGAAGACATGCATCACACACACGCACGCTTATTACACAATTCGCCCTCTCTCGGAGGGACCAAAAGAATAATACAAATTTAACTAACTAACAAGCTAATTAAATAGTTACAGACCACTTAACTAGTTAAGCAAATTAACTAAGCTAATAAAGCGGTAAAACAGCCTCGGGAAGAGGGTCCAATGCATGCGTGCTCGGCTTCGCTCAAAAATCCACCACCATGTACAAGCTGCCTCTGTTTACCCTGCTCTGCTCCTCTGAAAATTGTGCAAGTCTCAATGATGCTCCAGATTCACTTCCTGATCACTGTGGAAGGTCACCGACCAAGAGGAAACACCACCGGCCAGGGGAAACTGGTCATCAACCATTGGTATGGCTCTCGGCCAAAGATATTTAGTCGGCTACTCAATGTGGTCGGTCGACCATATCTTCCTGCAGAATCCTGTTTTGACAGCAGCAGAGGGCAAACTAGGCATGGCAATGCATTTTAAAGCAAATGTTTGCACAACCAACCTTCCCATCATGTTATGAACTCAAGGGAGTGTGGCCCTTGACCCTCGGGCCACCAATCGCGTATTTCAATGCGTGATGGCCAAAGAGGCCAAGTGTGCCATTTTAATGTCAAATGAAATGCACACCAAACAAATAAGGGACCCAACCTCTATCATAATGATTCAAGAGGCAAAGCATGCATGCAAAATGCAACCTGAACATGCAAGCTAAGTATGCAATCTGAGTATGCAAACAAGCAATGTGTACCAGACACACAACCTAAGCAAACAAGCATGCGAGACATGTAACAATAATTCTAATAACCAACATGCAACAACATGTGAACTGGACTTAGCATGGGAACATGTAAAGCAACTTTAGCAAAGAAAATGCATGCTAAATGCAATGCGATTCAAGCATGCAACAACATGCGATAGGCCAAGTACGTAACAACACACAAGGCGAACATGCGACAACATGCGAAGGATGGTCTTAAACCAATTTGGGCAGCTCTAAAATAGGCCCAAATCAGTGGCCAAGATGCTAAGAGACAAGAGACAAAGTCACATACAAACATGCATGCACACATGGTCCAATACTTAAGCATAAAGAGGAAACTTTTAAGCACACTTAAAAGGGATAAACATGGACATATGGCAAGCATAGAAAGCTCTGAAATCATGTTAGAAAATGTGCCAAACCAATTAAACAAGGCAAGCATAGCATGCAACCAAGCCCAAGGCCTAAGGCTAACCTAAGGGATCAAACCACGGCTATGCAAGGCGAGTCCCAAAGGGTCGAGGGGACTCAAAATAGTCCCAATGTAGGTCGAGACAAGGCCCAAAATACACTTAGATGGCATCTAAATGGCCTACACATGGAAGCATACATAATGGTCCAAACATGGAGCATAAGACATCAACCTTTTAAAACATCAAAGGAGTATCAAATGCAAGCATACAAGCATATCATATGGACTGAAATGACATGATAAGTGATGCCAAACCACTGAAATGATGCAAGGAGAGCATGCTAGAGAGGCCAACACTCAAGGCCTATAAGGGAGATTGCATGGTAGCTATACAAAGCAAGTCATGGACGACCCAAATAACCAAAGTCAGACCTCAAGCACACTAAAACATGCATAAAAGCTTCACAAAGCTAAGCCAAAATCATGCTAAAAACAGGGCTCAAAGCACAAAGTATGTTAAGGCAATTTCATGGCATTACAAGGCAAGTATGCAAAGCATGCATGGTGTGTCTAAACCAACTTGAAACAGAGATATAACATGGCAAAACAACCACAAATACCAGCTAAGACATGGTCATCATGAACTTAAACAAGATGCTCACACATAAGGCAAAAATGACAAATATTGAAGGCAACAATGAGAGGGGATGACCCTCTCCTTCTTAGGACCTCAAAACATCATCCCCACCACTGAAATCCCTCTGGATTTCAGTGGTGGGAAGACCAATACAAGGTGGTCCCGAAGCTTACAAAAAGAGGCACAAAATGAGATCAAACAAGGCCTAAGAGAGGGTAAACAACCCCAAATACCAAAGAGACCCAAACAAAGATCAAAAGCAAGTAAAAACAGAACTTTTTTCAGTTATACACTAAGCTTAAAAATAGATGCAAGATAGGTTAAAAGCTTGTGCAAAAATAGGGAATAAAGGAGTAAGTTTCTTACCCTTGAAGACCTTCTTCAAGAAGAGAGTTCCAGCAGCTTCCTTAGGTCAAAACCAGCTCAAAAACTCCAAGAACAACCCTTTGGCACCTCAGCAACCAAGGTATGGTGTAACATTAGGTGCCTTAGTGCAAAACTAAGAACAAACGCACCTTATACACACACAAATCAAAAGGAAAGGGAGATATAGAGATAGGATAGATACAAGAATCCTAACCCTAAAACCAGACCTTTGGAACTTCTTGGAACCCTTGAGGAGGGAGGAGAAGCCCTCCCTTTATAGGAATTTCAATCTTGCAAAGCTTACAAAACAAGCTAAGCAAGAGGGAAATCCCTTTATACAAGTGTATGGAGAGGGTTAATTGTGGATGCCAGCTATCACAGCTGGCATAAAATATCTGCCAAAAGCAGATGAACAGTGGTCGGCCAACCAAAAAAGACAAATTGACCAAAACAATGGTCGGCCGACCATAAAGAGTGTCGACCGGCCATAACCAATGGCCGGTAGCAACAAAACAAGGCCGGTGGCCTCAAGCCATGGCCGGTGAGGTGTGGGGATGACCAACAAGCTATTTTCCACCCTTAGAAACAAAAACATAAGTGTTTGGTGAAAAACCAAACACAAAACAGGCAAGTCGAGAGGTCTTGAGACAAGGCGCGTGGCCGAGACCTCTGAGAACTCAGGACGAACACAAACATAGATAATCATCGAGTGTTCAAACGATGACGTTCAAGTCTTGAGGACGGTCAAAAATGGGGTGTCTATAGTGTAACAACCCCGACCTAAGATTAATGCTAATTCATGTTTAAGTAGGCCAAATAAGTAATTAAGAAGAAATCATGAGTTAAATTACATGCGCATTGCATTACTTTTGTGATAACCCTATTCCATATTATGCTAATTGGTCCTTATTATAAATGTGATTATATGTTTGATATGATGTTGTGTGCCATTTATGTGAAAATATGTGGTTTTGAATTTCTATCTGTTCACCGTAGGAATATCTGTTTGGTTACCTGCTTTGGAAATTAAATTGAAGGCCTTATCGGACACGAAATCTGAAATCGATTACGCCATTGTGATTAGCGTAATTTTTAGAGCCTACGGTGAAATTTAATTGAAAATTGATTCGAATTAAAATAATTAG